TTCCTGCTGCGCTTGTCGTTGCTGTTGAGCTGAAACGGGGTCATCCCCCCAGCCAGAAGGCCCGAGAAGCCCTCTGCAGGCAGTGTATTTCCTCGGTGCTCCAGCAGGAGGTCGAGGGAGACACCTCTGGGAGCTTGACATTCACTGCGTCAGACTTAGTTTCATCGCAGAGCAAACGGTGCTTCACCGACCCCAGACCCCCTCCGTTTCTTCTCGGTACCTACACGCCTGTCAGACAAGCACTTGCTGCTTCCCCCAAATTATCCCGTTTTCCACTTACAGTGTGGGTTTCTCATTATTTCAGGGGTGGCCTCAGGCGAGATTCTGGGTCTTCGTTTCTGTGCGAGGGCTTTCTCTAGTTGCGGCAAGCGGGGGCCACTCTTCATCGCCGTGCTCGGGCCTCTCACTGTCGTGGCCTCTCTTGTTGCGGAGCACAGGCTCCAGATGCACAGACTCAGTAGTTGTGGCTCACGGGCCTAGTTGCTCCGCGGCATGTGGGATCCTCCCAGATCAGGGCCCAAACCCGTGTCCCTGCATTGGCAGGCAGATTCTCAACCACTACGCCACCAGGGAAGCCCCCTAATTTTTGACATTCACTAGGCCTCCACGGGGCCTTCTTTAAGCTTCTTCCAATGACGTGATCTAGACACCTTCAGGGAGGGGACCGGGGAAGGGCACCGGGCTCTCCAGGCAGCCTGGGTAGAGGAGGGAGAAAGAGCCCGAGCCTGCCCTCCGGGAGCTTAGGGTCCAACTGGGGAACACAGGCCAGGCCTCAGTTCAAGGCAACCGGGAAAGGACTGGAAGGGCAGCACCTGAGTCATCGCCAGAAGAGGGCATGGGGGGACCATCACATGTGACTGACTGGAATGGGAAAGATTTGGATTTAAATTTCAGCATAAAACACACTGTGTTGCCCTGAAGCCTCCTTACCATACCAGAAAAGCCTTCATTTGTGTGTGTGGGACTTGGTTTTAAAACTTACTTCAAAAGTATTGCTCCGGGCTTCCCTGGTGGTGCAGTGGTTGAGCGTCCGCCTGCCGATGCAGGGGACACGGGTTCGTGCCCCGGTCCGGGAAGATCCCACATGCCACGGAGCGGCTGGGCCCGTGAGCCATGGCCACTGAGCCTGTGCGTCCGGAGCCTGTGCTCCGCAACGGGAGAGGCCACAGCAGTGAGAGGCCCACATACCGCAAAAAAAAAAAAAAAAAAAAGTATTGCTCCTGTATCAGCAGACATGGGTTTTAGTAGATTCGGGGACTTTCTCTGGACCTTTATGTACCTTCTAATTCAGTTAATCTACTTTGAATTAATATTGTTTCCTGGTTGAGTTTTTGTTTATATTTAAGAGATCAAAAAAACCGTGGTGGTTTTCTGGGTCCCATTCTGCTCATTTCAGTGATGTCTAAAACTCCTGACACAGACAGTATGCTTGATATATTTTAAAATGGCTTACTCAAGTACACAATTCCATAATACTCAGATTTTTTTTTCTAAAAAATCCTCATAAAAACTTGTTCAGCTGAATGTGGATGAAATTTCATGAAAATCCAGTACAGGTGATGAGAGGTGCCGTCAATGAGAAAGGAAATCACTTTTATGTCTTTTTCTTGCCTAAACAGTTAAGCCCAAATTAGCTCACACTGGCAATATGGACTAATTTGTGTCTTAATGGCCAAAATTCTCATCAAAATAAGATTGGAATTTTTATCACTAACTATGGTTTTGGAACAGCCCTTACCAAATTCCATACTCAGATGATCTTTTCTAATTCCCTGTTATTGCAGTCAAATGTTTTAGAGCGGAAGCTCAAGTCTCAAGCCTGCAGAAGGATCTTTAATCTTTGTTTGGTTTTTTCGTTGTTCTTTTCCTCCCCACTGTCTTTCCCT